TCTTGTTTCTAGGCCCTGCCTTCCTTAGAATGTGATCCTTTTCCATCTTCAAAACTAAAAATGGCAATTTAAGTCTTTATCATATGGTATTTCTCTGACAACCCTCGTTTTGCTTAATTGTCTGCAAATAAGGACCATATTATTACACTGGATCCCAGGAGAGGCTTTATTTCAGAGTTAATTGACTGGCCCACACAATTCTCTCTGTAACTTTAACTTTCTTTCTGGGTAAGGAGGAATTCACAGGTTCTGGAGACCAGGACTGTGGCATGTTTCAGGGAAATTATTTTGCCTTCTACAGAAAACTAAGCAATAGCAGCTTGTTCATAATGGATGTCTGTGGACTCGAAGGTGGGTACCCAAACTGAAGAGTCCTAATGAATTGGGAAGGGCAGCATTTTTTTCCCAGAGAGTTCCAGAGTCCAATGTTTCTTTGTAGAATAATTTTTTAAAAAGTTAAGTTAGCATACAAAGTAACAGGTGTCCTTATGGCATTTTTACAAATAATTTTTTGAGTTGATCTTCTCTAGATTATTTTGGGAGAGATTCTTAAATACCTTTGAACTTTAATCTGTTCATCTATTAATTAGTTTCTATCTTATGATATTTTATGCAGGACTAACTAAATGAACAAATAAATAGAGAGACAATGTCAAATAGCTAGACATCTGACATACAGTAAATTCTTAGTAATAAGTGCTTGTTTCTGGTACAAAATAACTATAGCTGATATTCATTATAAGTATAAATAGTGTCATATATTATTATGGGAGTAAGAAGGCAAAATGAAGAGTAAGTTATTGAATGGGTTGAATATTCAAAAAGATTTGTAAAAATATATAATTAAAATTTAATACTAGTTATAATCTCAGCAGAGCTAAGGCATTAAAACAGAAATGCATTTGAACATATTTAAATTTTGGAGAATTGTAAGAATAGGGACATTCCTAAAATCTCTCATTACCTGGCCCAGATTAATATTTCAACACACTGTCTCACTTGCTTTATCAATCCATATATCCATCTATATACCTACCTACATACCATCTATCATATCTATCTATCTATCTATCTATCTATCTATCTATCTATCTATCTATCTATCTATCATATCTATTATCAGTCTATCTACCTGTCATCTTTAATCTATCTATCATCTATTTATCTATCTAATATATCCATTTATTATCTAGTATAATTCTTTCTTCTGACTTGAGACTAAGCTACATATATCATACCTTGTACTTCACTACATCCTCCCTAAGAATAGAGGTATACCTTTTTATGACCTTAGCAGGGTCAGTTGACTTATCCTATAAGGAACAAGATGTAGTGTCTTAAGCTTTATGAACCACACATGCTCTTTGTTACACATTCCTTTTTGTTTTCTATATAATCCTTTACAAATGTAAGCTCACAGGTGATAGTAAAATTTCCCACCTTGGTATATTACTCTTACTTTGTACTAATAAGTTTATTTGTCTATCTTTTGATTTTACAGTTTGGCCCAGGAATAGCATCATCTCATGTCACTCAGAATCTAAGATTGTGTATTTGCTACAATCTTCAGTATCCTTTATAGTAAACTATTTTCTTGGATTGTTTTGTATTTTTTCTATGTTCAAATAGTTTTTTTTCTTTTTTCCCTTTTTTTTATTAGAAAGAAAATTATTTTACATGTTAATCCCAGGTCCCTCTCCCTCCCCTGTTTTGTGTTTTATAATATTGCCAAGACAATTCCTTGACTTTTATCAAGCATCTCTAATTTGGGGTTTTCTGCTCTGCACCCTATGTAAATGATGGAGAATCCTCAAATATCTCACTGAAGATAAAATTTTCATGTACCCATCACTAATGGTGTTGGTGTTTTTCAACTGTCCAAGCATTGTGTGATTTCTTCCTGATGTAGTGACTATTCTCTGTCCTGAGTGTGGCTTCTCTGACATTGTTATCCTGTGAGTAGAATCTGAAGGAAAATACTAAATGGTTGCTTGTGTGGTGTGGTTTGTGTTGCTTATTTTAGATTAAAATATTGTGGGTCCTGAAAAATCACTTAGCAGCTGGATAGTAAGACACAGTCTGTGGTCAGACCAATCTATTTCAGTATTTATATTGCTTTGCTTAGATATTTCTCACACTACCTGGGTGACAAAACAAAACAAAAGACACAAATGTTGTAAAGGGATTTGTGAGGAGGAAGGAGGTGACAGGAATGAGAGGGAGGTAAGAAGGGATGGGGGTGAGAGTAACCAGAGCCCATTATATACAGATATGCAATTGTAATAAAATAACTAATACAAAAATCTATAATAAGACTTAGGTCTTCTATCTCTCATAGTACATTATAGACATACAACGCATTCGTTTCAATATAAAGATTTGTATTTAAGTTGGTCTGGAGGTGGGAAAAGTGATTAATCTGCCATAGATGTTCCCTAGATGCTTATATTTTACAGTTAGGTCACAAGCTACTGTTTAGTAGAATGGAATGAAGAAATAAGAAATCAATCTTGACAATAACCCACCTCACTTGTTCCAAATAAATTACAACCCACCTCTGTCTATTTTAGAAGTTAGATTATTGTGTTATCCATATACATGGTTTATCCATTTTTAGGTATAAAATGAATACCACCAGTCATCTGCCACACTAAAGATTCAAAGACATATATCACATTTGTGCTAACACCAAAGGAATTTGCCTGGTCACTTAATAAAAACATTACTGTTTCTCTCCCTTCCCTTCCCTTCCCTTCCCTTCCCTTCCCTCCCCTCCCCTCCCCTCTTTCTTTCTTTCTTTCTTTCTTTCTTTCTTTCTTTCTTTCTTCCTTTTTCTTCATCCTTGTGTCAGCAGAGCTTCATTATGAATACAAGCCTGGCTGAACTCACAATATTCTTAACTGAGCCTCCTGAGTACTAGGTTTCCTGGAAGGAATCATTATACCCGGCACAAACATGCTTCTTAAATCCCCAAAAGATGTGTACTTCAAACACGAATTCTTAGTATTACCAATGCAATTTGAAACTGGATGTGATAATAGATGTCAAATCAACATAACTGAAGGGATTGATCTTATTAAACAGCAAAATGAAAACTTGAATATTTGCTGCAAACAAAAGAAATGAGGGCAAAATATTTTTAATATATGTTAGAGTTGAGCCACATGTCTTCAGTCTTATTCTTCTGGAGTACCTGTCCCTGGTCCTCACTCCATCATAGCAATCTGTGCACAGATGCTGAAAGTAGTTCTCCAATGCATGTTAATCCCTACTTGTTGTGGGATTAATAAAGTTAACCTTGAGTCGGGAGTGGAGTCAGTGACTAGCTGACTGGAATTAGCCAGAGAATCCAGGAATATGAATAGAGGAGACACACAGGAAAGAGTAGGGAGAGACTTAGAGATTTCATAATCTCTGCTATCTGGGAAGTGTGAAGAGAAGGTCAGCTGGTTGCTCCTCCTCCATTGCCTCTTTGATCTATCAGCTTTTACCCCAATATTTGACTCCTGAGTCTTTATTGACAATAGAACAACTTAGATAAACACAACACCCACTCCTACCCCATGCCCTCCTTCAGTGAGAACACGTTTTCACTGAACATTCCACTAGTTAGGAAAGGGACTCAGCGGGTTCACTTGAGAACATTTTTGTGCATTTTCTCTCCTCCCTCTTGAGGCAAATGTTCTTTGGTTTGAGATTACTCCAAGGAAGGCAGAAGAGAACCAGGACAATCTTTCCTGCTTAGTATTAGTCTTCTTTTTCTTTACCTTTTGTGAATTCTTTGAAGGAATGGAAACAAGGAAAATTGAGGGGAATGGAAAGAAAGGTGTTAAGAAATAAAAAAGAAGTGTGCTAGTGTGTGTGCGTGTGTGCATGTGAGTGTGCGTGTGCGTGTGCGTGCGTGCGTGCGTGCGTGCGTGCGTGCGTGTGTGTGTGTGTGTGTGTGTGTGTGTGTGTGTGTGTGTGGTTGCATGAGCATGAACACAAAATGAAGCAGAGCCTCTGATGCTGATGTGCCAGAAGCAGTTTTAAAAGGTCAATGCCTTCCTTAGCTTTACAAATGAAGACATTGAATGCAAGAAAGATGAAAGGATTTACAGAAAGTGGCACAAATCGGGGGCACATCTGGACCAGAGGACATAGGTGTCACCAGCCATGACCTATTTCTTTTAAGTTGTTTTCCTGAGACTTTCAATGGTGTTTGATCTGACCCATAAAGTGTGAAGGAACAGCCCTCTGCATCATCTTTTCTATTCAATCACATAACACAGAGCCTGGAAGGACATTAAAAATCTTTTGAGATCTATCGTTTATTTTGTTGTATGCCTATGAATATTTTGTCTGCATGTATGTGTACCATGTGTGCCTGCTGCCTGTAGAAGTCAGAGAGGATATCTGATTACCCATCACTGGAGTTACAGATGGTTGTAAGCTACCATGTGTGTCCTGGGAATTGAATCTGGGTTCTCTACAAGAGAAACAAGTGTTCTAAACCACAGAGCCATCTCTACAGCTTCTGAAGGGATATATATCCATATAGTTAAGAGTATCTTGGGGATAAAGATATGAGTGTTTGTATGTAGGGATAGGGAAAACAGACATAATACCAAGAAGAAAGCTAACTTTTTACTTACACATAGCTTAAAATTTAAAATCTTTTTGAACTTTTCCAAGACAAGGTTACAAGAAGGGGAGAATTATGACACATCTGATAATTAAATTGTGTCCTAAGGTATCAATCACATCTTCAGAGGCCACATCACAAGACCACTAGCAGTGACATTAATGTGTTTTGGTAACACTTAGCAATCTGGACATTTAATATACTTCAGCCATTTGTTTCAGGTCACCAGAGGTTAACAAGCCAGCAGTGAATATAAACATAATTGTCTTTCATTAGGCTAAGTTGCCAATTTGAAAAGCAAGGACAAAAATCTCATGAATAATCTTGACCTTTGGGAGCAAACAATTGAATTTTGGATAAAAGCACATATACTCACTGTTGTGTTTGAAGGGTCTTATTGTTGCACCTGAGAGTCGAGCCCCCAGGATGATAGATGTGTGGTTAAACTCATCACTTAAAATGAGGCATCCCTAGGCAGAAAACAAAGACAAACCACAAGATAATGAAAAGAAAGACAACATATGGGAGTTAGAAGACACCAAAACCTGTCTTAAGTCTGAACTCTATTTAATTTGAAAAGGTTGAATTTCAGCTGGTATTTATATGAAGGAAATCTAATCTTTCAGCTGTCTCATGGAGATAGAAGCTGTTTGTAAGACATGGCATCTTTACTGGAACATTTACAAATAGTTTTCAACAGAAATATCATGTTTAAGCATCAGTCAGAGTCTAAATGATTGAACTTTGACTGAAAGTCTAATGTTTTGCAGAGGGCTGTAGACAAGTTTGGTGCCTGATTCTGTGCCAGATTATTTGGAAGGTTCTTACTAGTTCTCCTGGAAGCTTGGGGATTTTTACAGTAAGGCATTCCAAAATCTTGCCTTGTGTTCTCATTCTGCCTGGGTTAATAGCCCATGGAAACAGAAACATCTGTGTTTTACAGTTAAAACCTTTGAATTTAGAAGAGTTTACATGGAAAGTCAGTGTGAAGTGGTTGAAAAACACGACTGCTCATCCATTATGTAAATTTATTTTTCTTTAAAATTTAAAATGCATATATTATAGAGCTGTCCAAGGGTACCCAAACTGAAGAGAAATTATGGCTCTCTTTTGTTTTCTGGGGTCACATGGAATTGAGTTTCCTCCTTGTATTTTGGTAATTTTACATACAGCATGTTTTAGGTTTTAGAGGCTAAAGTTAGCAAAATTGTCTTATCTCCATGCTGAAGAATATGTGTGTATTTGCAAGTTTTTCCTGGAAACATTTCAGAATTATTATAAACCTCATGATATCTTGCATCTATGCTCTTTAGCTATTTATTTACTATAAATAAAGCAGTTGTTGCTGCCACAAAATTCCATATTTTTATGTTAAATGATACATATATTATATGTCAGCAACTAATATATCACTAAAATTAACATTTCCCCAACTGTTCTAAAACTTTTAATGATGTTATAACCATCTTTTTCAATGAACTTTCACTGAACTCAATTTAAGATCATATATCACACTTAGTTGTCATTAAATTTTTTTAAAGCATGATTCTTATTATCACACTTGCTTATTTAAAATGAGGTAGCCAACTTCTCATTTCTTTCTCAGGGGCATCCTTAAACATTCTGGCATGTTTTACAATATAAAGTTCTTAGTGATTTGACATGTGCTTTCATTGTTGGTCTCTTCTTGGTTCATGATCCTGTGTTCCAGTTCCTCCACACCATATGCTTTACCCATGCAGTCCTTTCTTTATTGTTTCAAGAAATAATGTGCTAATGTATCAATGTTCTGTTCTCATATTTTCAGTACAGGCATTGCAAGCTATCTCAAGAAGAGCTGACAGCTCTTTTCCCTGTAATACCCATTCAATTTTATTCAGTATATTGTTTCTCCACTAAAATTTATTTACTTAAATTTTTAAAGCAGGGGTCTTATACCTCCTTTTATAGCCTATATGCCAGGACTTGTAGAATCTCAATAATTAGTCAACCAGATGAATGAATGAATGAATGAATGAATGACATAGGAAAACCTTTTGGTTTAAAGTAGTGCTTAGCAAGTGCTTGCTACATGACAAATATAGATGAAAGTCCTTAAAACTACAGCTTTTCTACACTACTGTTGAAGATGACATTTGATCCACATTTAATTCAGCAATTCAATAACCAGGATCATCACAATGATTTGCTATACTATGCTGATGCATTTATCCAAAGATTTTGATGTTGAAAAAAAGGGCTTTCTGGAAACACTTCCTGAGGACTTGCCTGAAGGTTTAATTCTTAGGAATAACACAGCAGAAGACACATGACAACAAAGTCTTACCTTTCCAACAAGTATAGGGATATTCATTGAGTTGGTTGCGAATCCCATCCCAAAGGTCATTACTGCTTCTACATTCAAGAACTTAGCCATGAGATCTTCCAGCTCTTTATGTTTATCCAATGTACCTAAGCAGAAGTTACATAAGGTGTGACTCTCACTTTTTTAACAAGCCCAAGTTTAAAAACTCAAATTTCACTAAGCATACACCAACAAAGACCTGTAGCATAGCAACAATCTTTGTCATAGTCCCAATCTAGAAACAACCCAAAAGCCCATTTGTTATAAGATGAATGTATTGGTTTTAGAAATACAGTTGAATGAAAACTAATGAAAGACAAAAGTACTTCCTCACACAGTGGTATGGACAAATTTTATGGAAGAAGCTGGACTCTTTTGAGTATAGGTTGTAAGTCCATTTTATAAGTTTGCAAAACTATGGCATTTGGATGTCAGGAAAGTGATAGTTTTCCTTTTTTTGACAATGACAAGGCTTTTGGGATTCTCTGAATTTTCTATATTGTTGTTGATTACACAGGTACGTTTGCTTTGTAAAATCCATTGACCTATATAACTACGGCTCCTTCAGTATTCAATTTTACAATGCAACACAATTTATAAAACACCACAATCCCTATATCCCAGAAGCAATTGTGACAACCCTCTTAGAGATTTCATTTACCTAAATGCACACATATCCCACAACTTCTATAGCTAATTGTACTATAACTAATTGTAACTATAACTCTTTCTGCCAGCTGCCTGAGTTCTGATGCCATGTTAGAACCCCCAAATAACACAGAGTCTTACATTATGTACAATGCTGCTGGCCAATGACCAGGATTGCTTATTTGCTAAGTATCAACCATAACCATTAATCTATACATTTTATAAAGACTTATCTTATTGAGGACGCCAGCAGCATGTGTCCTTTCTTTCCTGGGAGCACATGGCTACCGGCTCTGTACTAAATTTCTCAGAATCCTCCTCTTCTCCTAGTACTGCCTATCTTGCTTCCCTATTGGCCAACAGTGTTTTATTCATTAACCAATGAGAGAGGCATATACACAAAAGGACTTCTCCCATCATCTCCTCTTTGCTCTCTAAATAAAAAGAAGGGTTTTAACATTAACATAGTAAAATATATAATAAAACAGTTGCTAAGCAAGAACTATAATTGCAATATTTAGTCCATTAACATTTAGCAAGTTTAAAGAAAATATCCTATCATCTATCCTATCTTTGTGAGTCTAAGGTCTTATATGTAGCTTATATTTTATAATAACTAAAGAAAACTGTAACCATAACTATCTGTCTTCAACTCCATTAAAGACCACAGAAAGATAATATATAAACTCTAGAATCAACAGAGACATCTCACTGCCTGGCCAGTCACCCAAAATTCCTCAGTAATGTTGGGGCATCCATCTTTACCCTATAGGCCACAATGTGTCTGGCAGAATTCTCCATGAAGAGGAATCCTTCAGGAGGATTCCTTGTTTTATAAGTTCAGCAGTTCCTTCCCTGTGGGTCCTGCATGTTCAGTTTATCAAACAGTCCAGACAAGAGTAGTTTCTTACCCAAATGGCTAATCTTGCCATGTTGAAGGCAAACTCCATATTGAGTTTCTTCAATGCCCATCCTCCTTTCTGATATAATTGGTGTATCAGGAGCAGTTGTGTCTTACTGTCATGAAAAACCCTAAACCATTTAAAATGCCATATATTCTGTAGGTCTTTGAAAGGTTTGAAGAATATCTATCCATCTCAAATACATTTCTGTATATCTAGAAAACCTAATTAACCTAACTGTAAGTTTTGACTATTATACCTGACTATATATAATCTGTATTTAATTATGAATTACATTTTAAAAGATCAGTATAAACATAATACCAAACAAAAGGAGAAATTTACATATAACAAAATTAACCTTAAATTTGTATCAATAAATGAAAATAAACACCAATGTATTCATTTCCATACCCATTTCCCTTTTTTCCTTTAAAAAGAGATTGACTGTGCAGTAAGACAAAATGACAGCCCACAGAATGGGAAAAGATCTTCACCAAATCCACATCTGACAGAGGGCTGATTTCCAAAATATACAAGGAACCCAAGAAGCTAGCCACCAAAACACCAAACAATGAAATTAAAAATTGGGGTGCAGAACTAAATAGAGAATTCTCAACAGAGGAATCTGAAATGGCTGAAAGACACTTAAGAACGTGCTCAAAATCCTTGGCCATCAGAGTAATGCAACTCAAAACAACTCTGAGATACCATCTTACACTGGTGGCATGCGTCCCCTCTTCCAGGGATCACATGGTGACCGTCTCTGTACTACATTTCCCAGAATCATTCTTCTCTCCTAGTACTGCCTATCTTGCTTCCCTCTTGGCCAATGGTGTTTTATTCATTAACCAATAAGAGAGACATATACACAGAAGGACTTCCCCCATCAACTAGTGGTAACAGTTAAATTTTTCAAATTTTGGAATGCAATAGATACTATAACAAGCCTGATATCTAAATGATTTCATTTAATCTTAGGCTTCCAGAAGTGAAAGTAATATTACCTCACAGGTAAGAAAAACTAAGGTTTAAATATCCTCAGACAGAACTCAACAGAGTTAATTTAACCTAACTAAATATGTTTTACTTCTCATGATCTTCCCTCTTCTCCTCCTCATCTTCCTCTTCCTTTTCTTCCTCCTTTTCCTACCACTTTCTCTCTTCTTTTTCTTAATTTTCTTTGACATTGTCTTATTATGTAGCCTTGGCTGCCTTCCAATTAGTGAGCCTCCTATCTCAACTCCCTGTGTGCTAGGATTACAGGCATGCATCACCACATGCAGCCTATTGTTTGAGATGGAGAAGGCTTGTAGATTCAAGATACCTTTATTCAGATAAATACCAGCCAACGGCAAGCCAGAGCGGGCCCATGGGTCGCAAGCTAGCGTGGCCAGAGAGAAGGGGCTCCCACATGTCTACAGCACCTTAAGAATCTCCCATGAGTCATCCTAAACACCCCTTGACCACGCCCTGACAGGCGTGGTTAAGCACACCTGTAGCCAGCCCTTAAGAGGCGTGGTTATGGTGTCTCCCTACAGCCTATAACCTTTTATATCCTTGTTTACTGATCTCTTCTTAAATATTATAATGGTACTACTTCTTGCTGGTAACAAAGATTAATACTTCCTGAATTTTGTTTTTGATAATTTCACCTTCTAGATCTACAGTATCCAGTGTCATAGCTACTAGCTATATGTTGTTAGTGAAATTGAAGAAATAATTTTAAAATTATATTTGAATTCTATTAATTTTATTTCTACCTTAAAATTAAAGCACTTCAAAAATATTTCCTCCTAAATACAGTGCCAGTATTTTAATAGGATTTCATTTGACTCTAGTCATGGAAAATTTAGTGTGCACACTGAGTTGTAGTATGAATATAAAAATAATAAAAAGAAATTTTGTGTTGACTATGTATTTAAATAGTAATATGGCTATTAGAAAATTAAAAATGACAGCTCTGGCACTTGACATTTTTCCTAGATAAGAGATTTATGTTTGCACAGTAAATGACTTTATCTATTGAGGCATCTCTTTTGTGTGACAATTTAAAAATTTTAATTGCTCCAGCAAACACTGAGTAAGAATGACTGTACTATGTGTTGCTTCTGGCAACTCAAGGGATAAATGAATTCATATTTGAGAACAGAAAATCACACAAGTGGTGAGATGTAACTTGCACCCATAGGATTGTAAAAGCTGTTGTTGAGATTGAAGGGAGGTGAATATTGTTACCATGTTTAGGACCATTATAAACATGCTTCCTTAAGTGTAACAACCAATTTATATTAGTATTCAGGGTGGAATATCAATATTCTATTCTCACTAGTAAATTAGCTGCCTTACTCTGCTGGAATAGCTAAAGGTATGATTTTAGATAGTATTAAATGGTCAGTTCAAAGATTTAATTCTTAATATTTTTTAATTAGAAACAAGCTTCTTTTACATGTCAATCCCAGGTTCCCTCTCTCTCCCCTCCTCCCCACCAACCTCTATCCCAACCCTTTCTGCTCCCCAGGGAGGGTGAGGCCTTCCATCGGGGATCTACAAAGTCTGTCATATCATTTGGAGCAGGGCCTAGACCCTCCCCGTGTACGTAGGTTGAGAGAGTATCCCTCTATGTGGAGTGGACTCCCAAAGTCCATTTGTGTATTAGGGATACACAAATTAGTGTATTAGTATTTACTGATCCACTCCCAGAGGTCACATGGATTGCCCAGACCTCCAAACTGACATCCACATTCAGGGGGTCTGGAACATTCCTATACTGGTTTCCCAGCTATCAGTCTGGGGGCCATGAGCAACCCCTTGTTCAGGTCAGCTGTTTCTGTGGGTTTCTCCAGCCTTGTCTTGACCTCTTTGCCAGGGGGATAGGTGAAGAATAACCTTTGTCCTTTATGAGAAATCACAGTATTATAAATAAACTAGTACATGGCCTTCTCAAACATGAATTCATTTATCCCTAAAGTTGTCAGAAGCAACATGCAATACAGCCATTCTTACTCAAGACTTGGTAGAGCAGTTAAACATTAAATTGTCACATTAGAGACATTGTTTGGATGATAAAAGCATTTATCATGCAAATTTCATGATCTGAGTTCATAACCCAGAACTCACTCAGTGGAAGGAGAGAACCAACTTCACAGAGTTACCACTGAACTTACACACACACACACACACACACACACACACACACACACACACACACATGCACGCGCACGCGCACACACATACAATAATAAAAAGGTTAAAATTTTGACATAAAATTTCTATTATCAAATATGTTATACAACAGAAAGAGTAAATAAACTTTGAAGATGAAAATCTGAACACATGATCATTTGTTGGATTCATTTTTATTTAGAAGATACTGCCTTCCAAAGAGGATGGTCTCAGGAGTAGGAAATCAAAAGTTAGGAGACTGGGTTCTGGCTCCAGATCTGCCATTAACAGCTGAGTGCTCTCTAGTCACTGTCCATGAAAGTTGCTAAAGAGATTGGAAGATATGGTTTAGGCTTTCCTGACTTTGCACATGTGTTTTTTTCCATATAGAA